CTCAGCTGATGGACATCTAGGTTGTTTCCATCTTTTGGCTATTGTGAATAGTGTTGTGATGAACATGAGTGTGCGTATATCTGTTCTTGTCATGGCTCTCACTTTTTTTGTTGTTGTTAAATTGTCAAAGTTTTACATATATTTGGGTTATTAGAGTCTTGTCAGATATATGATTTACAATAATATTCTCCTAGTCAGTAGCTTGTCTTTTCATTTTTTTTATAAAGTCTTTTGATGAATAAAAGTTTTTAAGTTTTATAAAGTCTCATTTATTTATTTTGTATTTTGCTGTTTGTACTTCTGTTATTATATTATATAATCCATTGAAAGCTAGGCCTGACAGCATTACCCCTGCTTGTTCTTCTAAGAATTTTATGGCTTTAGTTTGCACTTTTAGGTCCTTAATCCATTTTGAATTTGTTTTTGTATATGGTGTGAGGCATGGATCCTGTTTCATTTTTTTGCATGTGGAAACCAATTTCATTATTCTTTTATCTTCAGCTATTAAAAATGCCACTTTTCCTGGGAGAAATTATACTTACAACTATTTTTAGTCACTTACAATTACTGGGACGGAGTCAGATCATTCCTTGAGAGCTTGTTTTGAAAAAGGAAGAGTATGAGGACAGAAAGGACACTCAAGAGGGGAAAACAAAACAGAACTAGGGATAACAAACAGGATATAGAGGGAAGGGTAGGGGTAGGCTTGACTTGCTTACTTCCCTGTCTTACCCATATGTCTTACATATTTCACTTCATGGTACTAAACACATTAAGAAACCAATTCCCAAGAGGTTGCCTCTATACAAAGACGCTGCCCCTAAGAGTTTTTCTTTTAAGGAATGGAGCTTCTACTGACACTGTTCATCATATTTCTTTTTCTTCTCACTCCTATTCAGTCAAATTGTGACAGAGAACAAAAAACAAATCCAAAGATGGACCAGCTCAAATGCCTGTATACTTATGCTCTGACTGAACATTCAATTTCAAATGTGCTCAGATGAGGCTCTTCCCCAAATAAAACTGGTAATCAAATCTAATCCACCACATCCAGTGTCCTTCTGCTTACCTGAGATAGGCTGACTCTTTGTCCAGCCACTCATGGATGCCGTGCAGTCCACCTCCAGGATGCTACTGCTGTGAGACTTTGGGATATGATGCCAGGCAGGGACCAGCCCAACTGATCTTTTAGCACTTGGATCCCTTCAAAAGAAAACCCAGAGTCTAGTGAAAGCATCAGAAGGGATAACTAGCAACATTCCTAGGACTAAATTCCCTCAATAAAAACAACCAAACATACAACCATTGTGGAAAGCAGTATGGCGATTCCTTCAAAAGTTGGAAATACAAATACCATTTGACCCAGCCATCCCATTACTAGGTATATACGCTAAAGAAGTGAGAGCCATAACAAGAACAGATATATGCACACCGATGTTCATCGCAGTACTACTTACAATAGCCAAAACTTGGAAACAACCTAGATGTCCAAC